TTTAACGGAATCCAAAAATTTTTTCGCAGAACTATTTCAAATAATAAGTAGATTCGTTCTAGCAAAAAAACAATTTTTGGGTTAGGTGCACTTTAAGGTGATTCCTCATATTTGCATTGCACATCCTTACTGCGCATAATTTATGGCGTCATTAGCACGGGTTCGTGCACGCACACATTGAAAACATGGCTTGATATTGAGTTCTGTCATTTGAAAAATGGCAAAAGCTCACTAATGAGCTTGGGCACCCCAAATTTTTTTTCCAGTCATTTTAATCTAGTCATTAGCTTTGCGTGAGAAAAGACTGATCTGATTTCTATTATTTTGCAGTTTGGTAGCCATGGCAAGCAATTTGGTTCCAATATTTTAACAAGGATTGAGCTGTCGGTCAAAATCAAACTTAAAAAGTTTATTTGTGTCCGACACAAGTATTGAGTGCAGTTCGAGGCGTGTTTTCATGAGTCTGGGCTCACAAAGAGTTTACAATAACTTGGAATGCTTTCTTGTAATAAGCATTAAATAATGCTAAAATGGGACATTTTTAATGCCTCACTGCTCCTTAATGAGCATGGGCATCCCCTTTTTTATTTTATAATTAAAGTTCTCATATGATAAATATTCAGTGAACAAAGTTTGAACAAAAATCTATCGGCAGTTTTATTTCAGGGGAATTACCTTAAAAGAAATGTGCAGGTGGTAGACTTACCGTGACTGTTACATGACGCTGTTTACAATCGCTCAGAAAGGTGGCTTCCACCTAAGTGTCAAACCGGCCAAAGCGATGGGAGGAGAGTATATTCCTATGATTTTAAGCCTGCAATGAATTATTGTTTTTTAAGAAACATCTGAAATATCATCTGAAATATCTGCTGAATTTGGTTTCTTCCCTGTGAGTACCTAAATGAAAGCACACTGAGCTTGTGCTAGTATATTACATTAGTTAAAATTTTATGTTATTTCATTTCTTTACTTATTTGCTTCATTTGTGATGGCAGTCTTCTGTTGTTGAGGGAAGACCCGAGCCAAATCTGGAATCGATGGAAACATCTGTGGAGCGGCCATCCAGATGGCTTTGAAGAGATTTCACTGGTCTCAGCGTGTCGATCGATAAGTACTTATAGCAGATCGATCGTGTTTTCACTATGTGAAAGAGGCGAACTACCTTATGTAAGAACCCCTGATGAGTATA